AAGAACCAGGCTCCCTTTCTCTGCTGTGCTGGCCAGCCCACTGGATCAGAGACATGGATAAACACACCATTCAATCAAATTTGGGGTGGCGCACAATGGCTCATATCTGTAATCCCAGCACTCTGGCAGGCTGAGACAGGCAGACTACCCTAGGCCAGGAGTTCAAGACCACCCTGGACAACACAGCAACATTCTGTCTTTACAAAAAAATACAAAAATCAGCCTGGCATGGTGGTGTATGCCTGTAGTCCCAGTTACTCAGTAGGCTGAGTGGGGAGGACCATTTGAGCCTAGGACGTTGAGGCTGCAGTGAGCCATGATTGCACCACTACACTCCAGCCTGAACAACAGAGTGAGACTGTCTGAAAAAAAATCAATCAATCAAATTTGGCATTGATATTGTTTTTCCAACTGGATAGTTCATTACTGAACTGAGACCAAGTTTGTAATTTTTTTTTTTTAGAGATGGGGTCTCACCGTGTTGTCCTGCCTGGTCTCAAACTCCTAGGTTCAAGTGATTGTCCCTCCGGGGCCTCCCAGATTGCTGAGATTATAGGCATGAGCCACTTCGCTGGGTCTAGGTTTGTGATTTCAAGTAACAGATCGTTTCCCATTACTTGGAAAGAGCTATAACATCAGTTAGCCCGATTTTATAGTAGTGATTAGGAAGTGATTACAGCAGTTAGCAGTGGTGCTAACAGTAGCATTAGTAGTAATGGCAACACTTAGAAGCTATTCTTTTTTTATCTTTTTGAGACAGAGTCTCACATTGCTGCCTGGACTGGAGTGCAGTGGCACGATTCCAGCTCACTGCAACCTCTGCCTCCAGGTTCAAGTGATTCTCCTGCCTCAGCCTCCCGAGTAACAGAGATTACAGGCACCTGCCACCATGCCTAGCTAATTTTAAAAATATTTTTAGTAGATAAGGGGTTTCATTATGTTGGCCAGGCTGGTCTTGAACTCCTGACCTCATGATTCACCCACCTCAGCCTCCCAAAATGCTGGGATTACAGGTGTGAGCCACTCTTCATTGAAGACTTACAGTATTCTGGATACGGAGCTATGGATAGTAAATTCTACTTACAGCTTCCCAGAAAAAACAAGGGCATGAAGATACACACGTGTAAGTTATGTCTGTGCAAAGTGAGTTGCTCAGTGCAACAAGAACATGGGCGTCACGGGAAGGATGAACGGTAAACCTTAGAAAAGCAGTTGGAAATAATTTCTGTTGAATTTCAAAGGTCATACTTAAGAAGCACATGCATTTTTCTGTAGAAAGCCACTGTTTTTGCAGAAATAGAGTGACAATTCAAACACGTGGTATGGGGAATGTGTTCTGGAAAAAAGTGCAGAGAATTCAATGGAGATGGAAGAGGAAGAAAGAGACAAGATTTAAGGGAAGGTAAGTACAAGTACAGCTTTTACATAAAAATATGCCTAGAACTAAACTGATTGCAGAAGCAGTTAGTGGGAAAGTGTATTTTCAAAATATATTTGTTTTTTCCTTCCTGTTTTATTAATCTATTCATCAATATTTCTTCTCTTTTTTCTTCCATATGTACATATGCATGTACGCATGTGTGTGCATTTGTGCGTAGGCACCTGTACATGTGAGGAAGTGTTTTGCATGTGTGTGTATGTGTGTGCATACATGTGTGAGGGAGGATGGATGTTGAGTGGGGCTAGATCAGGAGGAGCAGATGGCACTCACAGAGGGAGAGGTGCACGAAGAGACCCGTCAGGGCCTTGAAGGGGACCAGAGGCAAAGGACTGTGTTTACAAAAGACATTTCAGAATTGGTCACAAGCAATGCTGCTTCAGGCCAATTGACATAGGGAAGACAGAGTTGGAGGTCCTCTCCCACTCCTGCCCGTATTGACCCCAATTCAAGCCAGAGTGCCCTGCTGGCCCCTGAAGTCCCAAGGCCACCACCCACAGAGGACAGGGTGAGGAGAACAGTGGACACTCAAGGAGAATAGGAGAGGAGGTATGTACTTAAGTCTCTTTAAATGAGCAAAAAATGGAAGATATTTGTGTTCCATATGCATGTTTACTAAACAATAACCTTAGCAGAGACTTTAATAGATACATGGGTAGGATAACCTATTCTGTGGATACCAGACTCTTTGCCCAGCCTCTCCTGTCATTTCCCAGTGAGCTCATGAACACAGTGGCCACGGTGGCCCGTAAGACAGTGAAGTTGTGTTGCTGCCCTTGCCAGCTGAAAACAAACAGATTCTGGTAGTCATTACTAATAGGTAAGAGGAAAAAAATCTAGATCAATAGCTGCATAGTAGGGGATGTGCTAATTAGCTCAAGCAAATAAACCACATCTAGTACAACACCTGCAAACGGAGTCACCACCTGGAGAGGCTTGTAATCATTCAGTGTATGCGTCTGCTCGAGCGATCATAACAAAATACTATAAATTAGGTGGCTTAAATAATAGAAATTTTTTTTCTCATAGTTTGGGAGGCTAGGAAGCCCAAGGTCAAGGTGCCAGTGGATTTGGTTTCTGATGAGAGCTCCTTTTCTGGCTTACGGATGGCCACCTTCTCACTGTGTCTTCACATGGCTAAAAAAGAAATCTCTGGCATCTGCTTCTCTTCTTATAAGAGCACAAGCCCTATCAGATGAGGGCCTGACACTCATAACTTTATCACCTTCTTAAAGGCCCTATCTGCAAATATTGTCACATTGGAAGTCAGGACTTCAACATATGGATTCTGGGGGAACATAAATCAATCCATAGACACTCATTTTCATTCTCCAAGATGCAACTATTTTCTGAACGAGTTAAATAGGTAAGTTGAGCAGGGATGTGGTGAGAATAATCATCTCTGTATATTTCAGGTCCTTGATAATGGCACCAAAGCTGCAATCTCTCTTGTAATATGGTGTTGCTTTTGATTTGTTATTTTCCTAGGTGGAAGCAGTTCTAAAGGCTTCCCTTTGGTCTTTTCTACAAGAATAGCCAATACTCCACAGGTCAGAGGACTGATGAGAAGATTCTGCCAGTTGCTGAGTACGCCTGTTAAACTTATGCTTCTGGAACTAAGTAAATTCCACAGAATATTCTGATTGCTGCTTGGACTCTGATGTCCTTATGGTACCCACACCCACTTTGCCTTTGGTGATTAGGTGCCCTTCCTTGGCCCCTGACACCCAGGGATCCAAGTTTTTCCATATCTTTTAGGTTTTCCAATTCAGTAATGGCAGATCCCACTGAAATTGTTGATCTTCAGTGAGAAGGGCCATTGAAGCTCTTTTTTTTGAGACAGAGTCTTGCTCTGTTGCCTCAGGCTGGAGTGCAGTTGTGCAATCTCAGCTCACTTCAACCTCAGCCTCCCAAGTTCAAGTGAATTTCCTGCCTTCAGCTCCTGAGTAGCTGGGGTTACAGGGCCGTCCACCATGCCTGGCTAATTTTGTGTATTTTTAGCAGACATGGGGTTTCATTGTGTTAATCAGGATGGTCTCGATCTCCTGACCTCATGATTGGCCCACCTCGGCCTCCCAAAGTGCTGCTGGGATTACAGCAGTGCCAGGCCAATCTAAGCTTTTGAGCTCTTCAAGAATGCTGAGCCTTTCTTCACAAATATATTTTTCACAATTGTGATGAAAGGTGAATCATCTGGACCTTTCAACGGGGGTGATTTGTCATTTCATGACAAATTAATTCTAATATTCCAATCTCCCTGATGCTCTGAGTCTCTTCCTCTGCAGCAAACCAAGACAGGCCTGTCATTTCTAGGTCACACACACTGGCCCACCTTTTGGTCCACGTTTTGGGCAGCCAACCAAAGTCACTGTTAAGGCCTTTTCTTTCTCCCTAAACTGTAACTTTGCCTAGAATCTCTGCAATCAATTCAGCCTCATCCAATTTTATAGTCCTTCTACAACTGTGCCATGCTCTTAATATGCATTCCCACACGGATTCCCTGAATGTCTGTCTGTACACCCTGGAAAAACCATGTAGTTCTTTTGGAGTGTAGTGTGCCTTGTCATGACAAGGTCACTTGTTGTACCTTCCCTTTGGAGGCCAACGTGATGAAACCTCATCACTACTAAAAAGACATAAAGTAGCCAGGCGTGGTGGCGCACACCCAAAATCCCAGCTACCTGGGCAGCTGAGGCAGGAGAAGCGGTTGAACCCAGGAAGCAGATGTTGCAATGAGCTGAGATCGTGCCTCTGCACTGCAGCCTGAGCAAGTGAGATTCCAACTAAAAAAAAAAAGAAAGCTGAAATATTCTCTTCTTCATAAGTTTTTATTTCAAAGGAATAAATATTAAATTTGCCATGGAGAAAGCTGGCAGACCAAGTGGTGGAAGTTGTATCTCCAGGAATGGGACAATTAGACACCATGGGAGGCTCGATATCATGCTCTAAGGGTAACATTTCTTTTGTGGATCTTTGCAAAAGTGCATAATCTGAATCTGCTCAAGAAGAAACATCAGACAAACCCAAATTGAGGGGCATTCTACAAAACCGATGGTTCTTTAAAAAGGTCAGTGTCACGAAAGACAAAGACAGAGTGAAGAACTGTTCGGAGTGGAGGAGACTGAGGAGTCATGTGACTACCGTCAAGGCAGCGGAGAATCCTGGACTGGCTTCTGAATCAACAAAATTGTCTTTTGCCATACAGGACATTAGTAGGAAGAATGGCTAAATTTGAGTAAGGTCTGCAGATAGTGACATCCTTGGAGAGCCTGGAGATGAGGACAGAGTGCGAAAACCAATGAAGAAATAACAATCAGTCAAGGCAGAAAGGAATGCATATTTCCGGTTTTATTGTTTTACATCAGGCTGAGCTATGCAAAAATACAGGCTGCAAAGGGATATAGGTCTGTGCTTCGGGCTTCCCAGAGCAACCACACATACGCAAAACAAGGTCAGTGAATGGCTTTGTGGGAGAAGTTTTGAGCCCCTGAACTCCAAGACAGAAGAATCCTCTATGCTTGAGCTCAGCCCTCACCAAGACCTAACAGCCACATGGGCAGGCTCAGAAGGAGAAGGAAGGGGAGAGGGAAATATTTGGCCATTTGTGCTCTTCTAGGCACAGGGTCCACTTCAGCAGCAGCCTCCAGAGTGCTGGCCGCTGCCCCCTCCACAGCAGCTGGAGCCCCCTCCACAGCAGCTGGAGCCCCGAGGGCTGGCTGCAGCAGTCAGAGCTCTGGGGTCTGTGGCGGTGAGACCTGCGGCACCTGTGGTGGCTCAGGCAGCAGCCACCTCCCCCAGAACTGCAGCAGCCCCCAGAGCTGACACTGCAGCAGGAAGACACTGGAGGGCACTTGGGGGGGCATTTAGGGACAGGGCACTTGGGGATGCACTTGGGAGGGGGCTGGCACTGCTGTTGGCTCTGCTGGCAGGACATCTTCACGGTGGGTGTTCAGGAGCTGGGGAAGAATCAGACAGGAAATCAGACCCAAGTAGAGATGACCTCTGTCCCTGTGACACTCTTAGCATCACTCAAGTATAAAAACATAATCTTCAGTAGTTTTGCTTCCAATAACTTCTTCAAACTCTCATACTATCTTTTTCAAGCTTAGGACATCTTTGAGTGTCACACAATTGTAAAGTAAGACTGAACAATATTGCAAAATGCGTCCGAGATTCTAACGTGTTGTCAGTGGAGGAGGAAAGTATTACAAATATGTCTTCAGATGGAAACTGTCTAATTTTCAAGTCATTTATGGGAACATTATTTCTTAAAGAAAAGAAGCAGTCATTCTCTCTTGTCATAACTTGCAAGACAATTGTACTTGGAAGGTCAGCATTGCACAGGGTCTTGGACACTACCAGGTCGGTAAACTCATGTCAACACCGACAGATAAATTCATCAACTGCTGCACATCTAGTGCTGGAACCCTGACCTCCTGATCTCAGGTTGGAGCTCAGACTTCCTCAACTCCCCACCTGCTCGGGCTGTTGGCTGACATGGTGGCCCTCAGGCTTGGTGTGTCTTAACCAACCTGGGAAGTTTGTGAACAAGTCTCAGACCCATAAAAATGGGGGCTCATTAGCCCAAAAGAGCCTTTAGTCCCATGTCCATGGCTCTAGCTCTTCGCTTGCAGGCAGAGACAGGGTTGTATCTTCCGAAGCGGGCTTCCCTCCTGTGGCCTGCCGCGGTGGAGCAGGTCTCTGTGCCTCAAGCTCCCATCTTGGAAGGCCCACCTCATCCCAGAGCAATTTGTTTCCTCTAGAGTTCAAAGGCACATGGCACAGCCAGCCAGCTCTCTCCTTCTTCTCCTTCCTGTTCCCAGTTAGCGCCCAGACCCCTTTTTGCAGTCTACCCCTTCAGTCTTTTCTAAACTCTTCACCTCTGACAGCAAGGCTGTAGCCCCGAGGCCCTTCCCTGTTCTGAACATCCCTGCTCCTGTTCTTACCAGAGTCGCACACAGCACAGGGTTCTTCAGCACCTCAGGAGGCGAGCAGATGGGGTGCTCTGGTCCTGAGTCCTTTTATCTTGGCCTGGGCCCTGCCTCGGCTGTGAGACAGGGCCTGTGCATGAGAGGACCTGCCTCCTGACAGCCGTGAGATATCATAACTTAGCTAATAAGTCAATAAGATATCTTGTCCAGCAAAGCGTCGACTTTCTGAAATGTCCTATTTGTCAAAGATTTTATCTTTTATGTAGTGAAAATGTCACCGTCTTATGGGATGTGAGTTAATACTGCTGAGATCTAACCAGATATACTTCAAATGGAATAATTTTTCTGTGTGTTCTATATCCAGTAACACGTTGTTAGTAATCTTTGTTTTGTTCTTTCCATATCTACAAAACCTTTCCACAATTACAGTGACGAAAAATACTATTAAAGTCTACAGGAATATTCTATTCCATTTAACTAGCATCTTTAAAAGTATTTTTATTGCTATTATTGTCATAATTTTTAATATATTGATATCCTTTACTGCAGCTGCGCTGAGCACTCCAAAATTCTTGCAGTCAGTGAACACTTGAAAAAAATGTGGTAAAAATATAACCCAAAATGTACTGCCTTAGTCATTTTTTAGTGTACAGTTCAGTAATATTAAATAAAATCACATCATTGTGTAACCAATGTCTAGAATTTCTGTCTTCTTGCAACACTGAAACTCTACACCCGTTAAACAAAAGTTCTCCCTTACTCCCTCTGCCTAGCCCCTGGGGACCGCCATTTTACTTTGTTTCTATGAAACGGAGTACTCCTTGTGTCTCATATAAGTGGAATCATACGGTGTTTGCCTTTTTGTGACCAGCTTATTTAATTTAGCATATCTTTAGGATTCATTCATATTGCAGGATGTATATAAATTTCTTCCCTTTTTAAGCCCATTTAATATTTCACTGTGTGTATGTGCCTCCTTTCCTTTCTATAATCATTGAGCAGCGGACTCTTGGATTGCTTCCACTTTTCAGCTTGTGAATAATAATACTGTGAACATGGGTGTGCATGTCCCCTGGCAAGACTCTACTTTCAGTCCTTTGCATTGTATATACCCAGAAGTGGAACTGCTGGATCGTATGTTAATTCTGTTAACTTTTTGAGAAACCAGCATGCTATTTTCATAGTAATTATAGGTTTAGATTTGTTTCTAGAAATCTATCCATTTTATCTAGGTTATCCAATTTGGCATACAATTGTTCATAACTTAAAGTTATGCAAACATTTGCATTAGTTAAAACGCAAAGTTTTAAAAGTTTTTAGCTGGGTGGACAGCATGGCTTTACTTCCTATTTCTTGATACTTTCCAATCTTGGTTAAAAAAAAGTTTTTCTCTTTCTGAAAGGCTTATTTCAGTGAAAGTCCATCTGCAAAATGTTATATATTTAAATTAGAAAATAACTAAAAGTGCCATTGACATGCTGATTATTGGTTTTTTGGCACATGAAAATTGATTACTACAGTGTTTTCATCATTAAACTTATGATCTTGGTCTTTCCTTCTTGCCTTTGTATAGGGCCGAAAGAGAGACACTGGCTACTTTGACAAACTTAAAGCGGACTCCAGGAATATCACCAACAGTATGACCTTTGCGACCAAATCCAGCAACCAGAACTGCCTCGTTTTCCTCCATAAAGTTCAAGCAACCATCACTGGGTATAAAGGCTGTGATTTTCTTGCCATTCTTGATGGGCTGGACCCTGACGCACTTAGTAGAATTTGGCTGCTTAGCTTCAACTCCTAGTTTTTCCGGCAGGATTCCCTTTGCATGAGAAGCACCTCCAAAAGGGTCGGCCTTCAGGGCTGTGCCCAAATGGGCTTTCTTGTACTGTTTATCATGCCACTTCTGGTGTCCTTGGTGGCTAGGGAGCTTCTTAGCAGTACGAAGTCCAGGACACTTGCCCATCCTGCCGGCTTTGAGAGTGACCCTAGGCCACCTCACCGGGGATCTGGGGGCTGCCTTCTGAAGCCTGCGCGTCTGCACCGCGTGCCCGGGCCTGGAAGTCAGACTCAGGGCGGTGCGGCAGCCTGAGGCCTGCAGCCCTAATAGCGGGATCGGGATCGCTCAGCCCGCCAGAGGTTGTGTCTCCCGCCTCTTAAGCCTGGCAGGGGCGGTTCAAGTGGTGGGGGGTAATCAGTGAGTTGCAGGATCCAGGGCGGGTGCTATGAAAGTGAGGCGGAGGGGAGAGAGGGATTTCCCGGTCCCGTTGCACTCCGTCCACCCCCCTCGCAGCCCGTAACCGGGTTTTGCGGTTGAGGGGGCGGGTCCCTTTAAGGCCCCGCAGCGCTTGCGCCCGGGGTTGTCGGCGGGGCGACCCGGAGGAGCCGGCGGGCTGCAGTGGGCGGGGCTCGGCGGCTGTTGAGACAGTGGCGGCGCCGGGACGGGGAGGTAAGGGTCCCGAGGTGGCCCGAACTTGAGTGAGCCCGATGCTTTTGGAAACGCCGGACGGTGCACCAGCCGGGCCGAGAGCCGGACTCAGGCGCGGGGCGCGGCTGCCGTTTCGCTGGAAGTTAAGGTTTCCTGCGAAGTCCGCCCAGCGTTTCCGAGGTGAGTGCGCGGAGTCAGGCCGGGCGGGCGGTGAGTCCCGGACCGCCGGCGAACAGCTGGGGCGCGGCGCGGCTCTCGGGCTGCCCCAAGTTTCGCTGCGCGAGCTGGCGGGTGCGCCGGACCCGCCAGGGCCTGTTTCCAGGCTCCATTCCTCGCCTGCCGCTGCAGCCAGCCGCCCTCCTCTCGGGCGCTGCGGAAGAACTCGCGGCGGGTCCTACTGTGGTATCCCAGGGGGTGGAGGGACGAAGAAGCCTCGGGGGCACATCCTCCTAAATCCTCTGGAGAACATTGACCCTGCGCCGCACCTTAAGGCCGGAAATCCGTTCCCTCTTGGGACCTGAGAGACAATTTTAAATGTGCAGGTGGTGCGAGGGCAGCAGATCACACCTGTAATCCCAGCACTTTGAGAGGCCAAAGTGGGCAGATCACTTGAGCCCAGGAGTTCCAGACCAGCCTGGGCTACCCTGTCTCTACTAAAAATACAAGATTAGCTGTGTGTGGTGGTGTGTGCCTGTAGTCATAGCTAGTGTGGAGGCCGAGGTGGGAGGATCACCAGAGCCTGGGAGGTTGAGATTGCAGTGAACCGTGATCATGCCAGTGCGCTCCAGCCTGGATGGCAGAGTGAGAGCCTGTCTCGGAAAAGAAAAAAAAAAAGTACAGGTAATGAATTTTACTAAGTGAACTACCACAGACAAAGAAATGGAACATTACTAGACTGAGGTCTGGGGTGTATATGCAGGAGTGGCATTTTTGATTTTAGAGACATATGAATGATAAAACTTTAGTATTAGATATTGTTGAACATTTTCCCCAAGTGGTTGTACCATTTAGCAGGGAATATTCTGGTTATCCCACATCTTTGCTTACTCTCGTCAGCTAAAAATTATTTTGCCATTCTAGTAGAGGTGCAGTAATATATCAGTGTGGTTTCATCTTGCATTCTCCTGGTATTGAGATTATTTTTTATTGCCATTTGTGGCTTCTTTTGTGAAGTGCCTGTTAAATATTTTTATCCTGTTGTCATTAATTGAAAAAAAAAATGCTGGTTTTTCTGTTGATTTGTAACACTTTATTCTGGATATGTGTCCTTTCTAGAATATATATTTATTGCATTTCTCTTTTTCCAAACTGTCGCTTGCCTTTTCATTCTTTTAATGTTGTTTTTACATTAATGGAGATTCTCTAATTTTTTTTTTTTTTTTTTTGAGAGAGAATCTCACTATGTTGTCCAGGCTGGAATGCAGTGGCACAATCACAGCTCAGTGCAACCTCCACCTCCCAAGGCTCAGGTGATCCTCCTGCCTCAGCCCCCAAGTAGCTGGGACCTACAGGGGAGCATCATTATGCTCAGCTCTTTTTCGTATTTTTTAGTAGAAATGGGGTTTTGCCACGTTGCACAGGCTGGTCTGGAATTCCTGGGATCAGGTGACACACCTGCCTCAGCCTCCCAAAGTGTTGGGATTACGGGCATGAGCCACCACCTGGCATGTTTCTGAATTTTAGAGAAATTATACTTTATCAATCTTTTCCTATGTGGTTACTGCTTTTTGTGTCCTCTAAGAAGTCAGTGCCTAACCTAAGAAAATGAACATATTTTTCTGTGTTAATCTTATAGCAATTTTATTTCAGTTCATGCATTTTTTTTTTTTTTCCAGACAAGGTCTCACTCTATTGCCCAGGCTGGAGTGCAGCGGCATAATCTCAGCTGACCGCAACCTTCACCTCCTGGCTCAAGCAATCCTCCCACGTCAGCCTTCTGAATAGCTGCGACTATAGGTGTGTGCCACCATTCCTGGGTAACTTCTGTATTTTGTGTAGAGATGGGGATTCAGCATTTTCCCAGGTTGGTCTCAAACTCTTCGGCTCAAGTAGTCTACCTGCTTCAGCCTCCCAGAGTGCTGGGATTATAGGTGTGAGCCACACCCCCCAGCCATGTTCACTTTTTACTACATGGATGTGATTGCTTGATCCAGCACCGTGTACTGAAAAGACCATCCTTGTCCTTCTGTACTGTTGGGCACTTTTTTTTATAAATTGGATGACTCTAAGGTCATTTGGTTTATGAAATTAACGTGAGTCTGTTTCTGGGCAACATAGTGAGATCCTGTCTCTCCAACATATATTAAATAATAAATACATAAAATTGTTTTTTAAAGTGGGTAGAGCTGATGGAGTCATAGGTGGTAATTTATAAATGATTGTCAATTTCTTGGCTACATACAGGTGTTGGTAATTCAGATCTGTGGGGCATTCAGGCAAAATGTATTAAATGAATTTCATGGTGTTGAGAATGATCGCTAGATGATCATTGTGGCTTGAATTAGACATTATTTGGGCCTCACAGAGCTGCAGTTTTGACTCATATTTATTTGCCTTTTTAAAATGTTTCCAATCTTTCTGTGAAGGCAGTAACTCTTTTCTACTTAATTGTTCTTAGGTATACTTAATTACTAGGAAACCTTTATGGATCACACCTAACTAAGTGTTAAGCCACGTAAAGTAAAGGGCTGATGTGATGTGTTGTAGACAATAGTATTCTACACAATAGTTTCGGGACTACATCCGTTAAATTGTTTGTTTGTTTTTCTTGAGACAGGGTCTGGCTCTGTCGCCCAGGCTGGAGTGCAGTGGTGCAGTGGTCTGATCACGGCTCACTGCAGCTTTGACCTCTCGGGCTCAAGCAGCCTCCCACCTCAGCCTTCTTAGTAGCTGGAGCTACAGGCATGCACCACCACGTCTGGCTAATTTTTTATTTTTTGTACACAGGGTCTTCCTGTGGTTCCCAGACTGGTTTCAAAATCCTGGGCTCAAATAATCCTTCCATCTTGGCATCCCAAAATGTTGGGATTACTGACATGAGCCATCACACCTGGCCATTTTAGTTTTAATAATTTAAAATTTTTTCTAATTAAAAATATTTACTAAAATCTATTATTTACAAATATAGTGTTCATTATTGTTACGATTATTTTGTATGTGTTTAATGTCATTTTCAATATAAGCTCTTGGAAATTAGAGAACTTGTCTCTGATTCCTTACTGTATTCTCAATACTTAACCTTGTCTGCTATGAAACAGATATTGATTAAGTATTTGTTAAATGAATGAATGAACATACTGATACCACATTCAATTCTCCGCGTATCACAGCTTTCACCATCTAACAAATAAAATAGCTTGTATAGAGCAGAGCCGTAGTCAACCTGCCATAAAAGAAAATGTCAACGAAAGTAAACCCTTTTATGTGTAGATCTAGAGTTGGTTGGTTTCTGTCATATGCAGTCAACCGTCCTGACCAGCCTGGGCAACACAGTAAGACCCTATCTCTGAAAATAAAAAATCAGCCGAGCATGGTGGTGCACACTTGTAGTCTCAGCCAATCTAGAGGCTGAGGCAGGAGGATTCCTTGAGTCTTGAGTTAGAGGTTACAGTGAGCTATGATGGCACCACCACACTCCAACCTGGGGGGCGGGAAAAAAGAGTCCTGACTGATTAGTTGAGTCGCCAGAGAAAGTGCTTACTTTTCACAAAGTACTGATTTGAGGCAGATCTCAGTGAACAGGAATTCCATTCTTTCTGTTAGGAAATTAAGAGAGTGTGGGTGTGGTTAGTTAATGCTTATTGAACTATCTTTGGAACTCATCTCCTGCTCTCTCTGGTCTATTTATATATGTATATTCTATCTGCTGTTGTGTTGAGCTTTGCAAGTTTATGCTGCAGTAACAAAAGCCCAAAATCTCACCAGTAGAAGAGATTCGAAAGATAGCCAGATCCAACAGGTAAAAATCATGAGGTCAGTGAGTCCTCTCTCTATTATGACTCAAATGCAAAGGGAAGATGCCGTGGACCCTCAACATCGCAGCATGACCAGCATGTGCCTCCCACGAGCTGCAGTGCATGGTCAGGTGGAAGTTATTTGACTTCAGGAAAGGACAGTGTTCTCTTCAGGCCTTTTCCTCAGTGGCTGGATCTGCGTTCCTCTCCTCTCTCTTCCCTTCTCTCCCCCAGTCTCCATCCCTATTTCTCTCTCTGTTTCCACCTTGCTGTTCCCTTTCACCTGCTTTCTCCTCTTCAACTTTCATGTTTCTCCCGTCCCCCTGCATTTCCCAGGCTAAGGCTGCTGCAATATCCTGGGTGGGGAGATGTGTGTGGATTTAGGCGGTGCCCTGTAGATGTGTCCAGGATGGGGAAACATGGCTCAGCTGCCAGTATAATGGTTCAGAGAGTGGACACTTTTGAAGACCTTTCACAGCTCCCATTCTATAATTGTGTAGAACTTAAAACTGATGGGCCACAGTGGAATTCTTGGTTCCTCAGGACCTTGTGGTGGACACCTTCTTTCACTCAGCATTCACAGGGTGGCTATT